ACCTTTCATGGAGTCAGAGATTTATTGCCGACCTCAACCAAAGTTTACAAGAATCTGCTTTAACTTTCGTGTTTACTCCTAAAATAAAAACACTGATAACAAGACAGCCTGATGTTTCAGTCAATTTTGATAAGTGCTGCACTTATGTAACTGGCAGGCCTCTATTATGTGGCTGGAACAAGGGCATTAATAACATGGTATTAAAACTGGTGTTTTCTGAATACATTTTCTGAATACAAACCAACAAACAAAGCCCTTTTAATTGCTACTTTGTGCAAATCAAGGCCAAAAGTTTGCCTTGTGTTTCCCTTTTTAAGTCATCTGGATGTTCTTTGGAACAAGGAATGTTTATCTATTTGTTAGTAAAGTTAAACTGTGTGGAATTAAAATTTTCCATTTTCCTGTTCTGGTTTATGTATCAGGACATTGATCTCATGGGGCTCCTCACGAGCAGATTTTGAGGATTGTTTACTTTCAATGTGCTGTACACTAATAATCTATTACCAAAGTGAAAAAATTGTGCAACACTGTGTAAGATGGAAGTCTCTAAAGTTGTTTTTTCTTTTTACTTGAAGGCAGAATTAGTAGGATTTTCCTAAAAATGAAACAATGGACTCATACAAAAATAATCTCTCTCAATCATCAATTATGTCCCACAACGCAGCACCGAAAAAACACAACTATAGTGGGGTGGTGAGGGGACAAAGCTCATTTCAAAACGAGATTGGATCTGGGGTTGGCTTTGTTGTGTTACAAACCACAACTAACAAATCCTAATATATGCTTAAATATATCAAAACTATGCTTTCCATTTGTTTTGGTGGATTTATAAATAGCACAATAAAGTATATGCAGTGGGCTGCCATATCTGTACCATATATCTTTGAAGATAAATCATCTGTAAGATACAAGTCTTTGTGCTTTTCAACAAGCTGAGCTACGTGGTTGAGTTGAGCTATACATCAGCTCTCACACAGGGTATTTTTTGATATAGTCAATATGAGACTCAATCTTTTTTGTTAGTCTATTTGCTTGTTTGTTAATATAATTAGTTTCAAGGTGTCATGGTCCGATCTTCATTGAATTCGCCAGCCTCTGACTCTGCATTTGGGTCCTCTCTGCTTGTGCTGCTTCCATCAGTCTGGACAAGAGATTTATAAATAATTGGTATCTGATCTGCATCAAAAACAAAAAGTCTTTGTCTGGTTTTTCAATCATCAACCAAGAACACAATCTTTCCTGTGTGATCACATTCCTATTCATAATATGTAGCCGGTTTGACAGAAACCCCGGCATCAGGCTCTTTGCGTAGTATCTTTCTTTTTTTTTAAGGTTTGCGCGTGGTTAACATTGTGAAACTGTTTAGGCAACTAAAGTACTAAGTTAGGGTTTGAAAAAACATGGTGAAATTAAGTACACTTGTAAGCTAATGAGATAACGTCATGTCACTCAGTGCCGTAGAATCCCGTGACATACCGATATCAGTAAATCTCGTTCAACCTTCTCAACGTTCTGTATCTGCATTTTGTGACTTGGCCAATATGTTTTTGGCGGAATTAAGATTCTCTGATAACATTGCTGCAGCCGAAAGTCTTTTTGAAATGACCCAGACTTATCTACAGTATGTGGCATCCATGATAAGAGCTGGTCGAATTCTGTAAATGCTAAGGAATGTGCTTCAATGATTTCTTTCTTATCTCCTTTAGCAGAGGATGGACTGGAGCATCCTTTACAAAAGGAAAGAAGATAATGCCATCCCAGAATTCCTTGCGACAGCAAAATTTAAAGCAACGCACCATTCGGTCGTTGATGAAATCAAACAATACGCCTATCTTCCATAGATTTAAATGTATCTTTTTTCACAGTCATGGACTAATGGGATTCACGTTGATTAATATGTGGATAGTAACAACCATTTAATTTCACTTAATTTGTATTTATTTATATCAAACACGTTACAAAAGAAATAGTAAACAGTAAGAAAAAGCAAACTGCCAATACACAAATTCTCAACATAAATAAATATTACAGTTCTGAAAAGGAGTAGGAGGAAATATACACACATATGGTCCTACCATTTGTCCATCACTCAGACAGTTATCCCAATATTTATAATGAAAACCTTTGTGACTGGTATCCTATAATACGTTTTTGATTTGTTTCTTGAGCAGAGGAGATGTGATAAGGACATCACTACTAATTTGCGTAAAACATCTGCAAACAGTTCCATTCATCATGGAAACTGGGAGAAAATGTCATTAATTAAACAACTAAGTCCTAACAAAGATAAACTTGAGAAATAGCCAGTTCTCCACCCAGTATTACACTGCCAAGGAATGGGCTCAACATTAAACTGAGCAGTCCTGATGAAAAGCAATGAGTGCCCTCTGGCTCTGTTGTTTTACTTGATTAACTGCCACATAACATGAGTCAACATAACATCAAGCCTGTGTGCCTGGGCATTAGTCAAACTAAACCTGTCTCCACATTAAATTAAGCCATTTTTGAATGATGACATTCATTATACATTATAAACGTTAGGGTCAGTGAAGGATTAAATGTTTTGCAGAAAGATGGCGAGCTTAGCTGGGAAGCCTTTGCCTCGTGTGAGTATAAAAGTATTACGTAAATGGGAGCTCAGAATAACAAAAAAGAAATCAGGCCTTGTCTTTCTGTTACTTCTAACACCTGTGGGTTTTTACTGATCTTGATTCAGTGTGATTCTTCTTTCTGTGTGACTGGTTTGAATGAATGAAAACAAGGTTTTTCTGTGTTTGGAGGCTGACTTTAATTACTGCTAAGGCTTTGCAATCCCAAATAAATTAAACATTTGAGTAAAAAATAATGATTTTTAAATTACAGAGTTGAGAAAACTCTTACTTTGTCAATGGAGAGCTTGAGGGCTGGTGATGTTTTTGTCATCATAATAATAGCGGTCTCCCTCAGAAGCCGCCTCCTGCACAGATAAATGGATTTATTTGACAGTAATGCCAGGCTGCAATCATCCAGTTTTTTTCAAACAGACAATAAAAAAATGTCAAGGATAAAAACACTCAAGCGAGATGCTGGTCAAAAATCACAAAATATGTCTTTCCTATCATCTCCCTACTGTTGTAATCTATAATAAATTCATAAAGATTATCCCAAATAAAAGTTTTGTTCAGCTACCCTGCAGTTTGAGCAGTTCTACGGTCACCTTCAAAAATGTAACTGTAAAGAGCTTGTTTTGATGTTGCTGAAGTAGCAATCCGCATGTTGGCTAGTGTGATATGAATAAAAATAAACATTTCTTCTTGCTTGTGTTGAGACAACCCTTAACATCTGAGAAGTTAGCCTTGTTTTGCTAAAAGAAGAATAGTTTCGTTGGAAAAAAATAAATAAAGTAAATGCCGTGTTCACACCAAACGCGGCGCAAATCATTCGCGCCGCGTATTTGCGTCATTCGCGCCGCCGGTCTCGCCGGGGACTATTTGTGTTCATTCGCGCTGGACGCGCCGGAACTTATCGCGCTGAAAGCCGTTCAACTGTTCGCCATTAACCATGGAAAAAATAACCTATTTCTACTTCGTACGTGTTGTGGAAGTCACAGATATCCCGGGAAACTAAACGCCGTCATGTCTGGGTTCATAACATTGTCCAGAGGAGCTCCGTGTTCACTTCGTGATTGTATCGAAGTGTATTCACTGTGTCTAGCAAGCCACACGTCGCTGTTTACTACAGCTGTATGAACACAAAATCAACTGATTTGGCTGTGATTTAACGGCAATAAACCGACAAAAAGGGACTCCGAAATAACTACGTAATGATGCCGATTTGTAGGCTACTTGTCTTCTCAATGACATTAACATTGTAGCAGCTCCACCAACACAGAGTAACGTCACCTAGACGTAAATACGGCAGCGTATATTCATTGTTTGTACCATGTGGTTTACACACACATTTATACACATAGTTTGGTCCGGTCTCTATTGATATGAGGTATCGTAGAGCTCTGGGTGAACACAGACGGCTACAGTATTTATTTCCTGATTCAACAACGGCAGGACGTCATTGATGACAGGGGACGCATCTCAACGCTGATAGGCTATCGCGCCGGGGCGTAACGCGCATATTTCGGCGAATTTGAAAAATTTGAACTCACGCGTTTGGGGCGATTTTGCCGTTTGACGCGAATTTGCGTCAATCGCGCCGCACCATCGCAAATTCGCGCCGCGCCAGTCTCATCGCGTCTGTGCATAGACTTTGTATGTAATCTACTCGCGCGAAGAATTCGTGCTGCGTTTGGTGTGAACGCACCATAAGGCACAGTATCAGAAAAAGTTGTTTTAGTATTGGGTCCCAAAACTCGGGAATCGACACCCAGACATAAGTGGCAAGACGAAAATGCATGTGTGAGTCACTTCTAGAGCAGCTATGGTATTTTAAATGCAATTTTAATTTGGCCTACAAACATCCTTATTTGACACTGGGGGAACAAAAAATTGCAAATAAAATCAACATGTGTTGGAGCCTTTTTGACCAACTTCAAAATACGGAAACTGCTCCAACTAAAGTTAAAATAAGAACTAAATGTGAGTTACAATGTTGATTTTCAACACTGTACACCGGATGCAACTTAATTTTATTTCTGTCGAAATTAAGCTGTTGTAGCAGAACGCAGTGAACCATGAAAAGATGATGAAGGGAAATCGAGCAAATAGGCATAAATGAAGGCAACTGGCAAATGCAAAATCCATTAAGACATGTTATAACAAAAAAAAACTCAGCATGTGATACTCATTGTAATTGATAGCCTCAAAATCTTTCATATATAGCTTTAGATCATAATATCAACTGCACACTGTTCCTGGATCTGTCGGTTAATTGAATCCTCAAAGCAAACAGGCCCCTCCTCAGCCGTCTACACATTCCAGTCTGATTGGCTTAGCTGTTGGCCCAAAGCCCAAAGGGTGTCCCTATAAAACTCCCCACCAGCTGAAACACAGTCAGAAAGCAAAGACTCACAGACAACTGAATTCACTCTCAATTACTGCAACTGAAAGCACCGGAAGATGTGTAAAGGATTAGCTGCTTTACCCCAAACCTGCCTGGTGAGGTGAGCACTGCATCATCACTTTACCTTTACCTGTCATGTCTTAGAAGTGGTTGGATCTGATAAAGTGTGGCTCCTTTTCAAACCATTTGAGAGTGGCTGATTTACCCTGTTAATAAATTAAAACACATGCTGTCATCCTCGGGTCAAGAGTTTCCATCTGGAAGAACTCAGAGGCTTTCAGTTCATTTTTGTGAACTTTTTACTTTCTGAAATGAATTACTGTTTTGTGAAAATCCTTTTTCAACAGACTTTTTGAACTGTTTTTATGCTCGCTTATGTGTTTTAAGAATATTTTGCAATAGCTTGTGCAGATTAGTCAAGAGCGTCAGAGGTAAACACAAAAGGTATTGTGTTGCTTGCACTCTCAAAGCTGAAGGGAGGTCGGAGAGGTTTCTAAACCTGCAGAGTTGAAGAACAACTTTTTTTTTAAAAGGTTTACATTAGTCAAAATATAACAACATTTTCACAATTTGGTTATTATTGGTTTTAAAATGTGTGAAGTTCATGTTTTGTTCATTCAATTACAGTACATTTTTACATTATAGATAATGTGCAGAGTAACTTTAAAACTTAATAAATTGTTGTACTGAATATGAGACTCATGGGACGGAATCACCAAAAAAAAAACACCTGACCAAATCAAAAAAGTGCAATAATTAAAAAATAACAAGAAATCCATTTTGTTTTTAAGCTGTAGCTCCTTATTCAAAAACACGAGACCTTTTTTATGAAGAACTCTTTTTGTAGCGAATGAAGTTCTGAATTTGATTAATCAGCCAACTGACACTTATAAATGTAATCTTAGTGTCTTGTATAAATACAATACATCAGAGTTATCATCTTGAAAGCTTCGGTAAACATCATGACTAGATTATTATTACTTAAAGTAATATTAATTGAAGTTAAAACAAGTCACACATGTCGTCTGCTTTCTGTCATCCAGGGCGAAAGAGATCAAGTCGAAATTGGGCATTTTACTGCAGAAGCCAGAAAATGCCATCGACCTCATCATCCCCTACCCCGAGAAGACTGAGAAGAAGCCGGAGAAGCAGCAGAAGTGAGTCTCTCTCTGTGCCTCTGCCTCAAAGATTAATGTCTGTGGAGTTGGGGGGGGGGGGAGTTTGCTGGAGTGTAAACCAGATACTGACTGGGCTCGAATGTCACTGTTTGCTACAAAGCCTCATTTTATCAGGCATCACCTTGAAAAGACTGGGTTACAGATCATTTATATGATGTATAAAATGTGTTTTTTTTCCTCTTAAAATATTATGGTGATTATTTTTTAGAAAAGCAGCACTTTATCTAAAAGTAACCCATAAAAGTCGTGAAGCTTTGTTTTAGTTCCCTTTAGAGTCATTGTGGTGGAGACCATACAACTCTTTATTACTCTCCCGTCACTGTAACTCATGTTGATAATTAACAACAGCCCTTACATTTCTCATCGAAAGATGATATTGTAAAAGCATTCGTTGTCATCCAGGTACAGAGTTTTAAATCTCTTTGTTTGAATTGACTTGGTGTATGATTACTGCAGATCAGGGGCGTTTCTTGGATTGAAAGACAGGGGGGGCTTAGCCCCAAGGGGAGTGTCATGTTTGTGCGCCAATTTTTTTTGGGGCCCATTTGGTGCCGTAGATATCCATTGTTTCAGACAGTTTATAGATTGGTTCAATCAGAAAGAGTGTGATTTTGCTCTGTAGTTTTGCTTGCATTCAGTATATGATAACACAAGAGACTGAATTTCAGGGTCATAGTGAAATTTCACAACACAAATATGAACTTTTCTCAAATAAAGAGAGAGAAATAATTTTCCTGCTTGTAAAGGAAAGACGGATAAACTAGCTCCCAAATCCTAATTCTTAAAGGGACCGCACACAATGGATGGAGAGTGGACCTGACAGTGTCACCTTTATATCGTTAAGTATGATGATAGGCTATTGGATTGTAATTTGAAGGGGGAGAAAACACAAACCAGAACGCACACACATATGTAGCATGTTAGAGTTATAAATAACTTGTCCATGTGAGAAACAATAGTTTAATTTAATGGCATCACCAAAAAAAAAAAAAGTTCTCTTTTTTATTAAAGCCAAATTATTTGGGGGGGCTGAAGAACATTTTAGGGGGGCTTCAGCCCCTGCTGCAGATGTATGTTCCACCTTTTATCATCCTCACACGGTTAAGCTGAAACACACTTTAGCCTTGCAAAGTGCTCACTCAGGATGTACTTGACATCGTATTAAAAAAAGTCTGTACAATAAATGATGGATGACACTTCTGCTCTTTTACTAAGACACCTGATTGGTTGAACGCATCACGCCTGTAATTGGTCCTTCCAGCTAATTTTCTTGGGGGGGGGGGGGACGACATCTCAGCTGCTTTGGAAGCAGCCAAATGTCTAAATGCTCCCCATGTCTGGCCCGGTACATACATCAGACACAATCCCGGTGGATGTTTTCCAGATTTGAATCTGTCAGCAGAGATCAAAGGATGCAGTCTGGTTTTGGGAAACTGGGAAAAATGTCAAATTTGTATTCATAGCGTAGTTGTTTTCACTCTGAGTTTTTATTTCGAGTAATAATAATAATAATGTTTGCTAACAAATTGTTGTGTAAAGTCCTAGAGAGGAAGCCCCTCAATCATGTTTGTAGCTTGAAGAGCTTTTCTCACACTTACCTTCAGAAAAGATTGTTTAAGAAAAAAAAACACTTTTTGAAACCAATTTTTCAAAGTAGGATGTGTCTTAATGCTGATGTCCATGGTTAGACTTGAAGCTGGAGTGCTCTGAAGGGGTCTTTGGTGCTCCCTGGAGCGGGGTTGGGGTTGGTCGGGTGGGAATGTGCGGCTCTCGTCTGGGGGTCCTGGGGGGCATCTGGGTTGGGACTGGGATCATCCCTGTGGATGTCTCTGGCGTTAGGTTTTGGGGGGGCTGTCGCGTTCCCAGTGTGGGTGGTCCTGGGCGTTCGCTGGCCCTGCTGGGTGCCTATAGGGCTTCTGTAGCGATCTATAAACTACTCAGTAAGTCTGGGTAAACAACAGGCTGAGTGCACTGCAACATTATGCAAGTGAAAATAGACATACAAACAGGATAATTCATGCAGTGTCTCAATTGTACTTGGATGTTTTCTTCTTTTCTTTCTTGCCCATTATGGACATTTTGGAGGGGGGAGTTAGGGTCTGATGCTGTTTGTATTGTATATTCTTTTTTTGGGGGGGGAGTGGAAAATCTTAAATGTATTGTTATAAAAAACAATGTTCATTATATAATGATAAAGACTTATTTACAGTAGTAATGGTATTGTATTTGTAAACTTTTGGCATACTTTGAACAAGTTTTTCTGAAGATCAGACTGAACTGAGATATTTTGTGTGCAGGCCGACTCCTGAGGAGGCTGCTCAGTGGCGTGAATGTCTGGACCGAGTCCTGAACAACAGCTGTAAGTTTGCCCTCTCTTACACTCTCGTCCCCATAATGTGACTGCATGAACAGTCCTAACATGATCATTGAGGCCATACATTCATATCCTACTTACCACAGGGTAAATTCAAGTAGCATAGCCCAATTTCACGAATCACAAACTAGAATCAAGGTGCTTCAATAATGAAAATCTAACACCTTGTTTCTGTATAACAACATCAAGGAAGTTACTTAACATTTTAAAGTAATATATATTCTTCAGCAAACGTAACATTAGTCTAAAAACCTTTTTAACTGATTCTCTAATTTAAAAAAAACATGGCTTTAAGTGATTTCCTCAAATATCAGATGTAATGTCTCATGCTTACATGTAGCTTGGTAGCACGTATCTTGCAGATATATCTTTCTTCTCCTCATAATGGTGCCATTTATTCAAACCAGCTTTTTCCATATAGCTGATGGATGCTCATTTATTTCCACACAAAAATAATCCTTGTTTAAATCCCAAAATAGACATGTTAAGGTTGTGCTGCTCTGCAGCCTCACTTTGTTGACTTCCTTCCAACCAAACAATGAGAACACTATGATTTCATACCAGCCAAAGCTGCAGTCTTCCTTATGCAACAGCTTGAACTTTGGTTTACCTTTAACCATTCCAAAAGGAGCAAACATGCCTTCGAGGTCTGGTTTCTGTCTAGTAGACTGTTGAAACAGGTACCTGGCAGGGTTTGGTTCCCATAACAGCAATATATAGCTTGTGTGCTCGTTAATCATTTGTACATTTATATGTATTTATATTGTGTGTTAGACAGCCATGTGACTATTTGTTTGTTTAATTGAATGAAGATAATAATTTTCAGTATTGCCGGATGCATAATCAGGTTTTCAAACCTCAACATTGGCAACAAAATCTTGAAAATGCAAATGAATAAAATGTAATGAGCTTAATTTTTAACAGGGGTTCTTTATCAATGGAAGATTTAAAACAAACATCTCTATGCCTTATTAGGCCTTGGCATACTGCCAATTTGCGAGGGTGCAGAGGCAGGTTGCGCCTGACGTTGTTTAGCAACCATAACCAGCAAATCATATCATTGAGGCCCTACATTCATATCCTACTTACCAGAAATCCCGATTTCCGAGCTGATCTTTTCTAGCCGTTGTTTTTCAAGTATGTTTTGAAATATTGTCTGTGGTCCAGATTGTTTAGCTCTAGAAGCAGCCGGCGCCCAAACCTACCGCGACGGCGCGGCTCTCGTTTTTGAGCGCCTTCCGTGCCTATACATTGACAACAATGGCACGGCATGTGTCCGACACCCTAACGGCTTATTGTTGTCTTTTAAATTCCACACATTGTGTGTGTGTGTGTGTGTGTGTGTGTGTGTGTGTGTGTGTGTGTGTATATATGTGTGTGTGTGTGTGTGTGTATGTATATATATATATATAATGTAGGTGTTGATTTGAAACAAATGTAAGAAACACACATTGACACACCATACATGGCTCCACTGTTTACTTTACAAAGTGCAGAGAAAGCCTGAGAGCCAGCAAGACTGATGATTAACTCTAATGGTTAACGGTATTTAGCGGTACGTGCAAACTCTCCTGCTGATAAGTCACTTAAGTTGCCCCTGCACATCTGAACAGATCCACCTACAGACGTTACTGCGCAGCTGATATTGCATGTAAAGGGAGCAGCGTTTCCTCTGCAGAGCTCAATGGGTGGTAAAAGACCTTTCTAAGTGGCTCCTTCTGCATAGTCTAGGGCAAAGAGATGTATGTTTTGGCCTGTGTTTACATGCCTGCATGAATGTGCATTATGCATCCATGTATGTGTCCGTCCATGGAGGTTGTGTGTGTTCTGGTAAAATCTCCAGGGAGAGCTCTTAATGATTCCGCCAGCGTTGATTTATTGCACGGGTGTTGCAAACTGCTGCGCCTTGATCATTTATCTGAGCTTTTGCATTAACATTATTCTTTATGGCATCCCTCTTGTTAATTCCCATGGGATTCTCTCTGAGTTATTTCCTCTCAAATGTAGAACTGCCCTCCTTTGCCTTACACAAAAAAATTGCATAACTCAATGCATATTATGCAACAGGAAATAAATAATGTATGACTACTCTCTGATAAATAACATGGCACTCGTGGAGAAATTAATCTAATTTTCAAGTTGTTGTCCGTGCAGTTTTTAATCACTTCTTCAGTTTCAACGATCACGCTACTTGTTCAACCCATGAGGGTCAGTGAAGTTAATTAAAACTGAAATTAATTTAACAGACATATTTTAACAGAATATTGTAGAACCATGAATACGTGACAAACACTGAAGCTACAATTCCTGCTGGTTGTTGCCGCTCTGATACACAAACAGCCATAAATTGGCGTTCGTGCCTGTGAGTGAGTGAGTGCGTGCTTCTCTTTTTATGTGTTCTTGAACTGAAGGTCTGTCCAAAAAACAGAGCTTGATTGCGACTCAGAGCTCTCCAATCCTTTTAGATTGGAGATAAAAGCCTGAGGCCACAGCAAAAAGCTTATCATCTGCCGCACATGTTCATTCAGACAATGGGACCTTCGCAGGCATTATGTTGAACTACAATGTTCTTTGCTCAAATGAGTGGTTCTTTCAAGTCTTATTATGGATCCTTATCTTAGAATAACCACTATGTTTTCACAATTATCCAAATAAAATTTGTTTCTATTTCGGACACTGTTTATGACGTTTCTGAAAGGTAGTTGGCTGTTTTTGTAAATAGAAGTATAGTATGTTTTTTATTTCTATAATTATCTGGCTGGAACAATATCAGGAAAAAGGGGATATTTTCCTCCCTTATGTTGCATAAAACATCGCCTTTTCCTGATATTGTTCCATCCAGAGAGTTTTGGGAAAACTAATACTATAACATGGGAAGTCACACTTTCCTCTATAAAAATACCAAACCTCGGTAGTATATGCCACCACTTTATAATGTTGATTGTGCCTTCCTTTCATTTTCCATTACTTCACTTCTGCAAATCATGTAATAAAAGCTTTAATAAGACATGGAATCTGGAACATAGCTGGCTTCATCTATCAGTTAAAATAATGTTTTTTTGGGCCTAAGTGGCTGTTATGTAAATGTTCCATTATATTTCAAATGTGACCGCTTCATTATGGAAAGAGACACAACGCTCATCTGATTATTTGCGAAAGGCAGCAATGTCACTGCTGTAAAACAGGTGTGACTAAAAAAAGATGCATCACGGATGTAGTTTTAAATCTTATTTTGTCCTTAAAGTCTTAATAAGTGACAATATATTAACAGCAGAAGTGTCAAATCAATTTCATAACTTGAATATATAATTCTGGTCCTTATATTTACAGCCTAACAATGCCCAAGCAAAGCTAAAATGATGAAACATCAGCTTGTGACTCACACTTAATTTCTCTAGTGCTGTATGTAAAGCGTTAGGCTGAGTAAATATAGCAGTTAGCTCTGATGAATGGTTTTTGGCTTTCTGTGTTTGTTGTTTATCACCACAAGGGGGAACGTGGATGAAAACACAATATTGTGGATTAATCTAGCACTGAGACCTTGTGTTGGTGTTTGCATGAATGTGACATTGTTCGACATGTTTAAACTGATACAGAGACATTGTGTTTTAGACAGTCACTGAAACTTGGAACATGGAAAAGTGCAATCTCAGAGGCTCATTCAGAATTGCCAGCATGTTTACTTTAAAATGTGTTTATGAAAAGGGCCTTCAATATCAATTGCTGTTCTATATTCTATTATATGGCCTGTTAATACCTTTCTCTCTCTTACAACCCCTCCTCTCCTTTCTCCATCAGATGGTCTGGCCGCTTTCCGCAGCTTCCTGCAGTCAGAGTTCAGTGAGGAGAACATTGAGTTCTGGATGACCTGCGAGGACTTCAAGAAGACCAAGAACCCTGTGAAAATGGCCACCAAGGCCAAAAAGATCTACGAAGACTTCATCCAGTCTGAGGGACCCAGAGAGGTAAGGGATTCCTGAGACTTCGCCCCTTTTTATGCCTTCAACACCACATGGAATAGACAGATTTCATCAAGTGGTGAGGTTTTATAGATGGGCACCCACGTTTCAACCATGAGCTTTCACTTTAAAGCTAGTGTTATTAATCTTAAGAAACTAACAAGAGTATGCTGGATAAAAAAATATATATATATTCAACCGAAAAACCTAGCCCAGTGCCAACTCTTTTTACAATGAAAGTAGCCAGCAGCACTTGCTCCAAAAGTTGCTAAATCTAGCAAAAGTCAGCAAGTCTGCAACACTTCAGGCCTCTCTCCAAAACCTCTCCTCCATGGTCAAATGGACTGTACTCTAGTAATGGCTTTTCTACTCTTCCGACAGCTCAAAGCGCTTTAATACTACATATCACCATTCACCCATTCATACACTGATGGCAGCTGCTACCATGCAAGGTGCCACCTGCCCATCGGGACATGACTGCTGTTGGGTTGTAAATGTGTAAATTTCAACAACTATAAACAGAAATGTATTTTAAGAATATCACTCGCTTTAATACGAGAGTCACTGAAACTGGTACTGATGCTGGTGCCCTCATTATGTTGGCAAAGAGGATTTTGTCAGCAGGTTAAGATGAGTAATATAGCCTTTATTTAGGCACCATTTCACTCCTGACAAAGCTATTTAAAAGCCAACGGTGCAGTCAAAATAAGAGAACGAAAAGTGAAATGTTGGAGAGAAAGCTGCCTGTATAACAATTTGCATACATTTGAAGATGAACGACTGTGTAGAGGAGAAATACAGGCGCGCTTGAGTGTAAACAGATGAGGTTACAGACAGAATGTACTGAGACTCTTCACGCCAGAGAACAGCACAAGGATGAGAACATACACACACATACACACACACACACACACATGTTTGCCATGTTTTCTAAGGCAGTTCCATTTTGGGCCAGAGACGTGACTTCTACTTTACTGCATTTTAGAAGGAACTGTTGTTTCTTGTACTGATTTACTGTAGTCAGTGTACATATATTTGTTTTATTGCAGAGAGTTACAATCAGTCTCTGACTATTTTAAACCAGTTGTTGTAAATATCAATGCGGTCTCTCCTAGATCTTCTCCAGAGAATATTTTCCAGGCAACAGGACTTGATTTAGTTTGCGTTTGTCTCCTCCACCACAGGTGAACATTGATCACTTCACCAAGGACATGACCCTGAGGAACCTGGTGGATCTCTCCCCTACCACCTTTGACCTGGCCCAGAAGAGGATCTTCGCCCTGATGGAGAAGGACTCCTTTGGTCGTTTCCTTCGCTCTGTGCAGTACCAGGAGCTCCTGGTCAACTAAGCCAGAGCAGAGTCTGAAGAGATGGGGTGGGTGGGGGGGCAGGGTGGTTTCATACAGCAGTTAGTTAATATGAAAATAAACAGGGTTTTTTTTAATCAGGTATTTGTAATTAATTACCTTTTTGCAAGTACAGCTCGAGAAGCAAAGACTTATTTTACAAAATATCCAAAACAGGGCGAGAAAATTATAATTACAGTTTGAATGTAACTAAAGGGAAAGACTGCCTTTTGAAATAGCCCTACCTCCCCAACCAACACACACATACACACGTTCTTGAACTTCTATACCAGTGAGGACCGTCCACTGACAACATTTATTCCCTCTCCCCTTAAAGAAGTGAGGGTCTCCCAGAATGACCTCACTTGTCAAAAATGGTGCCAAAAACCAGATCGGTTCTCACATAAAGGAAGTACAGACGCAACATATTTACACACGGGGTCAAGATCCACTTCAAAACAGACAACAATGTGTTTCGAAACATACAACTCAATATATTTAGTTGTGTCAGCTCTTTATCTTACTCAAAATACGCTTGTGAAATTATCCGTAGAAAACATCTGACTTACATAACGTGTTGTTGCAGGTTTGCCAGACACGTCTGGACAGATATAGTTTTGTGTAAAGCTTGACCTCATCGACTGCCATGCATTCTATAGCAGACTCCATAGATGACTTTCTGGCAAAGAGCCCAAATGCAGGGCCGTTTCTGGTAATTCTGTTGCAAACATTAACCTTAAATATACAGACATTTTAAAACATAACCCAGTCCTTTCGCTGCAGACATAAACATCGTATATAATCGTAAAGTGACTTTTAAGTACTTTGTGTTTTTCACAAGAAGCCTCAAAGATATTGAGTGGCTGAAAAGGATATGACCTATAACAGTTTCTGCCTATTAGAGAAAATTATTGGGGAACTCTAAATAGAATGGCAGTTACACAATTGGCTGTTTTTAATCAATTACTTCATTCAATGTAACAAAGTGGATTCTCTTCTAGTATCAATGCACGAGTAATAGTTACCACATAACTCTCCTTTGTCTCCAACACTCATATAGTCAGTCATTTCGGATTTTCAACAAACTCCCCTTTTGGTATTGATGAATCCTGTGAGAGCCATCCTTGAGAATAGTGCTGGCTAGTTCAGTGGTCGAGCTCCTTGGCTACCACTAAACTGCATGTTGCTAAGTTGGGAAAATCAAGTAGGAGGGAATCTGAAAAAAAGAAGTGAACAGAGCAGCGGTTTTAACAGAGGTCTTTTTCCCATGTGATGTTACCAAAGTTTTATGTAAGCATTCCGAGTCTAAAAAAGGTCCAGATGTTATACACCAGTGTAAAACATGAGGGACAGATCTTGCAGGTTTGCAGCACTAAACAATGCAAATGCTGGTGATTGAGAATCCTTTTAAGGTGGTCTTTGAGTTACAAACCATGCAACCTCAAATTTCAGTTTGAAGTCATTAAGGGAATTTAAGGAAATAGCACTGCAATCAGACGAGTAGATACAAAATAGTCACAGTTGATAAATCTGACATTATATGCACTTTTCTTTTATTGTTCGGGTAAACACTTTCAACCACAAGTTATTATTCACTACATGCTGTACAAACATTGGTTCACATAACTTACACTATGCTGAGGCATTGGTGGATGCGATGGTGAATTTGGTGTTGGTGTGCAATGTTTGATGGTCCTAAATGTATACTTCAGTTGACTGCAACGATCGTTAAGTGTGATTATATTTACTCTTTAATGCTTTTTTATATTTAACAAAAGCAGATGTATTAACCAACGTAATAATATTGCTATCTAGATATTCAGCATTTTATAAGTCCTTGTTGTTCCCCGTCATGCAAATAATCCCACACTAATCCAAGCTGAGAAGGTTGCATGTCTTCTAACAAAAGGTCATTGGAACAACAAATAAATCAAAAAAAAATCTGAGAGATTTATTTAAATTTTCAACAGCATTTGGCAAGGGTCCATTATGGCACAGATTAGCCATTCTGGTGTCATAACCCTAAGTGTCATACACGTCAACAATCACCCCACAGAAAAATCAATAAGGACTTTAACAGTGCTGAGTATGCATCATTTGATGTAGTCTTGTATGTCATTTCTGGAGTCTATCATATAAAAATATATATGCGCATACAATTCCTGAAGATGTATTTATTTTTACGTGTAAATATCAACTATTTACAACCAATTGTGTCTAAGTTATTCTTAAATACAACAATCGAACCCATGATTATATGAATGGAGAACAGGCAAGGACTTTTCCCAGAATCTTTTCACTGTCATAAAAGAGGAAACACCTGACTTTTGTTTTTCTTCATTAGATCCCTATTCCTAATATGTGTGTACATAGAAAGCACGTGATGATAGAGTCTTTAAAACTGCAATGAAAAACTACAACATTTCGAGTAAAATGGAGAACAATGCAGATGCCACAATCAAGTAATTTAATAATGAAAAATATCAAAAGTGGTGCAATGTGGAGTTTTCTGTTCGGTTTACATTCAGTGTAACTCACAAAACGCATTGAGCTCTAACAAACATTTAGGGAGATCTACTGAAACATTCATAACTATGTTTTCATTAATGTAAAATCAACTCAAAAACAAAGAATCGTGTTTTTGTTTGCTTAGAATCAGCCCTGCATATCTAGGGAACGGGTCATCTTCCCAGAGTCTGCCGTGTTTCTACAGTAGCCCAGAATGGACCAACCAAATACTGGCTCCAGAGAGGGACTGTCAAACTTGCACACTGTATTTTTTACCGTAATTTTCAGAAACGCTTGAACAAGGTGAGGAGAGCAGAGGGGTATTCCGTTGGTTGCAATCTGCAACCTCACTGTTAGATGCTGCTAAATCCTAAACACTCAATCTTTAACACCTCTAACACAATACAACTGTCATGACACATGGTGTCTCCAGCTGCCCCTTTTCACCAGGAGGTTGTAATACATGGAAGCTTCACAATACACCCCAAGGATCCCACCAGCAGCCCCCCCAGAGCTGCTATAGTGGAGTGATATGACCCCCACATTAGCTCACCAATTTTGAAGGTACATCCATATATGTCAAATCCTGTAAAAATGTAATAAAATTTGTAAAAAGGAGTTGGGGTAATCTGTTTGCAAAACGTTTGATGGGCCGAGGCCTTACATTTTACAAACTTCCAAGGAAGTCTGTTGAGTAGTTCTGGAATTATCTTTGTAACTATCAAACAAATGGGACTGAAAACAAAAAGGGAAAAATCCTTCAAACTGTCAGGATAATAGCCCTTAGATATTTTTAAAAATCTGTTCCCTGTTTTTCTAATTCCTCCTAGGAGTAAGGTTCATTGTTTTAAAAATCAAAGCAGCATGTGTAGTGTATGCCTCAACAAAAGAAAACCGCCAGAGACGAGTAAAAATCAGAGCGGAAGCAGATGCGGCTGAGGAATTGTTCTGCCAACACAAACACTGTCAGAGGCTCGCATGGAAGCATCCGTTACTACCACACGTCTGAGAAATAGATGGAAAAGGTCAGATGACTTTGGTCCCAAAATGAGGTAGTGAAATTCCTGACTAATGTTTTGTTGAACTCACTGCTTTTAAATACCTGGTCACATTACAAGCCAGAGCTGGAATTTTGTCATGCCAAAAGGTGTAAATATTTCCCCCAAAAATGTCTGTTCTTGAAACCTGAACTAATATAACTAATTGAGATTCAAGCAGATAAAAAACACTAACAGCAAATGCTTAGACTGCATTACTCTGATTACAACCTAAGAATCTTAAGTTTCACCCCGATATGACCTGATTTTCCTCCAAATGTGCCAGAAGATGAAGAAGAATTACACTCTGACAGGATTGGCTGATAAAGTTTCCACATAATTAATCATTTCTTCTGCTTTTCCTGTAATAATCAATAGCCCTCTAAGCACAAACAGACTTGCAGACATATTTAACTGTAGCAAAAACAAGATTCAGACTTGTGATAATAAACCACGTCATATCTGAATGTGGGTTTACTATGGTCATCTGTTTGAGAATCAGCTTCAACCTATTGGAGAGACCTACGTAGAAACTGAGTCACACATATTGGGATTTAGTCATGGGAAAAACTAATTTGTAGTCCCCCAGGGTCTGAAATAGTCTGTGTTGATGGATAAAACTAATAAACCATAAAACTATACTGCGCTGTTTATGTTGACTCTGGCGTCATTAACAGGCAGATCTGTGGGTGTAGCAGGATCGGTAAACACATGGGAAGCGGATTGTTCACAGAGTTCCTCTTGAACGACAGCAACATTGAGGCAAAAAGTCGTAATGGCTTCAGGGCTTGAGAAATCTGTTGCTGAGTGACCGCCAACAAAAAAAGGACACTGACATCCCTTTGTAAAAATGAAAAGGGGATTTTGCTGAATAAGTGAGAGAGAGATTATATTTAGGACCAAGAAAAATCTGGTGTCACACCCAAATCGTCAAATTAGTTCTCCACAGCGTCTGATACCGATGCACCGAGTTTTCAACTAACTCCAAGGTAAACCCACCCTCGTCATTATTAAACGGTCAGAGCCACTACCTAGAATTAAGAGCAACATAGTCCACACAGGGCGAGTGGGAGGCAGGGTTGATGGTTCAGATAAACACAGCCAGAACTTTATTTCAGGAGACCACCGATAGTGTCCAGTGGGAAACTAAAAGTAAACGTTGGCATTTTGTTACGTTTCCACATAAATATATATTTAAAAACATGAGTAAAATCCAGACAAGGTCTGCAAACTGAAAGTAGCCTACGGATCGGCTCTAACGGGATGTAGCCGTTTCTTTTACTTCCTATGTATTCTTTGAAGGTGGCTGAAAACTGTCCGACTTGACCTCAACATATAGCACTTGCAGAGGTTAGCTACCAAATGACAAATTAATCAGAGGATTAAAGTAATATAATGAAAGGCAGCAAAGTTGGAGGGAAAGGCCACTTTCCATTAGTCAGAACAAGGGTTATGTTTATGTAGCATGTATTTCGGTTTTGCCTCAACAATGCAGGTTAGCTAGGTAAAGCAAAAGTCTTCCCTCTAACTCAAACAGGCAGGACAAACGATAGGAATAGGTATTCATTGCCAGGACTACACTATATGTTCCCCATAGTCTTTCATACTATTCAACGTGCTGGATGATGTGGTTAAAAAAGTTAAAAGTTTTAAAAGCTAAGCCATAACTTGCAATGAATAATTATATACTTTAGTGTGCATTCGAAGTTCTACAGATTTTGCCAATGGATGGAACCTGAAAGAACAGAATCACAGATCCCAAGCCCTGAATTTCCACTAACATTTCTTTTGGGGGGGGGGGGGGGTAATATGACTGTTAAGAAGGATCAGTTGAAGTTGCTCTGTGAGCGATGTCTGTATTGTACAAACTTTACAAGGATTAAGAAGCTTATTTCTAAATTTTCAAACTTCATATTACTTTTGTCATTGGTGATTTTAATTACATTTTGTAATTAAGTTGGTATTTTAGCCAGCTTGTGCCATCTTATTTATTGATATTTAAGAGTTGTACCACAGTCTGTATGTATTAATGCTTACAAACCGAGCAAGAACCACAACATCACCATTGCATGTAAAATCCATCCCAAATAATATAATCAGCTCAAGCTAATCAGGATTGAATAAAATACTACATGCATGCAGGCCAGATTGGATTTGAAGTTGTTTAAACAAGAGAGAAAGCGATGCAATTGAACAAAAGTACATTCAGTCCAGACACTACTACACCAATGAAGCTTACTCACTACATGCGTCCACTGTCGGGTCTTCTTGGTTTCACTTGACTTATAATTCCTCCCTACACTGGTTAATGGCATTGGTTTGAAATGTATTGTACGCACATTTGTTGTGCATTCCTTAGAGGCATATACTGTAGGTCAGACAGCTGTTTCACAAAGGTACGCAAACTTTATTTCACTGTATGAAACAACTAAGTAGTTTAACCCTAGAGGGACTATTCAATGGCTCAATAGTTCACAGTTGACCTCACTACTTTTTGTCCAATTTTCTAGAATCTATCTTCATTGGACAAATGTCCTCCTGACATGGTCACCTTACATTATGATTTGTTTTTCCTGTGGATTCTTCACAATTGCCCGTGGCCGTCCAAGCTCCCAAGCACCCATGTAATCTACACTTATGGCTGTCATTGTCAATATTAAAATGTGAAGTTATAAAAAATTACAGCAGACAGTGAAATAGATTTTGCCTACAGGTACAGAATTTGTATATTGTAAACCAATATCGTTATATAAATGTCCCATGAAAGCTAATAATGAAAATTAAGTGTCAAAACATGTCACAAGGCTGTCACAAACCTGCTATTTCAGCTTAAGTTAGCGCCGGTATAAACACAATGACAATATAATAACAAAAAAAAAACACGCACAGTGAGATGATCACTTTAGCCCTGCAGTGTTTTATTATCAAAGAATCTCAAGACAATAAACCAGAGATTTAGGCCTGGAGCCCAAGAGACGTATCTACTGAGTGTACGCGCGGTAGAGATGAGTGGCTTCGCATGTGCACTGGTCGGGGTGTACGTGCTTCCTTGCATGCATGATCACATTAGAGCACCAGATCCTCTTGTCAGGTTTTAATTAGCAGGCCTCACAGCTGCTCGCCGTTGGTAAGGCAGGAGAAAACATCCAGCGATAAGCAGGTTAGTGCTGAATGAAGCGCCGCTCAGGCCTGAGAGCCTGAGCCGGAACAGACTCTGGTTAGTGGAACAGCTGCAGGCGAAGAAAAGCACACAAAGATAAGTCCTTTATAACACAATATATGTTTCTGTTTTCCAACTCTCCCTCTGTACATATAGGGGCTGGTGAGTTGAGATTTAAATGGCATCCTTACTTCTTTACTGCGATGTATGTCCTTTTGTACTGATGACTTCAACTTGTTGTAAAGTAGTTTGATCATACTAACCTATATAATCTTAGCTTCCATATGTGTCGTAACATTTGTCCCTTTTTTAAAGGTGCTATATTTAACTTTCAGAAAATCTTTACTTATGACACCTGTGGCCGTGGTCTGGTGTGTGTGTGCAATAGATGTGTGCTGGCATCCTTGGCCCAAACAGTGACATGGCATTACATTAAGCTACAATCATATATCATATTTCGAATAACGTTACTTTATGAAATGTTCCTATATTTTGTTCAGACTATTGGCTCAGTGATATTAACTAGCTTGCCATTTGCAAATTACTTTATCAGCAAACATTACAAAGCAACGCCAGATCCATGACACGAAGCTAAGTAACAGCATGCTGGTCAGCTTAGCTTAGCTCAGCTTAGCTATAGTTGGCCGCCACTGCCTTGCATCACTCTTTGTTAGTAGAAAGGAATTGTTAGTCATACACCCTTACCATATTTTGCTTGCCATAGCGTTAGCAAGCGTGAATGAATTAGCTGTCGTTACCCACCCAAGACAGTATTTTTGCTAAGTTACAGTTGGCAACCAAAAAGTCAGGGAAAGTCCCCGTTTTTATGTTACGTTGCATTCCGTTTACACATTCGCAATAAAAAGCAATTCATAAACTGTTGCATACAAAACCCTTTTGAGGAAAATTCTGATTTGAGATGACACTTTCTTTCAACTTTTGCTTACTTAAATATAGATCCAACTGTAGGCCACTCACTCATTTAGGTTCATTTAAACTACAATCAAAAAGTTCACACATAGAGTTCCTCCCTGTGCATTTCTTTGACAGATTTGTGTGGGCTGAATGTTTAATGCAGGAACAGATGGATGTGGGGTTTTGCGGGCACATTGACAAGCCTCTCTTAATTAAGGCCTATATCTGGAGTAAAAGCTGTCGGAAATAGGAGTCGATAAATAGTAAATAAAAGTGTGGCAAAAAATTAAATAATTATGACTCACCAGGAAATGAACTTAAAAAGCAGCCTGCGACAAGAGCTTTTCCCCCATCTTAGGTACACACGTTGGCTCTAAACGTGATCACTTAATTGTGTAGAATTAGCTATCTTTGTCATTGAACTAAAGTGAAGTTTAGTATTCAAAACAAAATGAATCACCTTTTGAAGCCGTTAGCAACCTGCTGGCAGAAACAAAAGGTCCACTGATGATTCAGTTAATGTGCAGTGAAATGACTGCTGCTAAATGTGTGTGTTGTCTGACTAGATGAGACGCACATGAGCTTCACCACTCACAGTAGTTAATTTAACTCATGGAAAGGAGGGCAGTTATACGCAGAATACATTTGTAGCTCCAGCAGAATGTTTTTGACTAAATTCTAGCTGCTGGCCCCCTCCCACAGTCCTCCTAAATACTCCTGCACTCCTGTTCATTTTAGATGAGGGAAAGGAATTCACACAAGCACAGCGGTCGCAGTGGATTTGTCACTTTCTTCTATACTCCTGTGTTTTAGCTGCATAATTCAAGCATACTGAGGCTGATATAGAGCAATATCAGATACACAGCAGTAGCCTATATCAGACATTAATGAGGATATATGTATTCATACCTTTTCATGTTTGCATGACTCATTCTCAGGAGAAATTTAACTAAAAATGTCACTTCAATCTTCAATGTTTTGAAAGTTATATGATTACCACTTTCAGGAGTTTTTCCATTTTGGACCTGCATGGAAAAACTCCTGGAGTACCACTTTGAAGCAGCTGTGTAAGAGCGTTGGTGAATTATTAACCTGAGCACTTTTCTGCCTTTTTATTCTATTTGTGTGCCTTTTACTAAGCAGCAAAGCAGGCAGACAGAATTTACCGGCAGTAAATATTTAGACATGTTTTCCATCTCCCTGTCTGTTAAAATTAGATTTGCAGAAGATTTGTTTTTAAGCAAGCTTATTTACTGTATGGCGTGTCATGGTCCCAAATGTGTTGCCCTTAAATAGGCATGGAGTTAGACTGTGAGTGTGAATACAGCTACGGTAAACAGCGGAGGTAAATCGAACCAAATACGCACAGTTGAAGCCTAAACTATGTGGACTCATCACAATCATTGTTGATGAAAACAAAATTAGAAGATTTTGAAAGTTTAACACTAAGATTTAAATGTCTGTAATAGCTGTTTTGTAAACATTATTTTTGAAAGCGTTTAATTCTTGATTTTAACATGTCTTGCGAGGACTCAGATCTTGTCTTTCAGCTTTGCATTCTGGGATGTCTGGCACTGATTGATGAAAAGATGCTCAAAACACTGAAAACTGAGCTGTGGAGTAACGACCCGACCAGTCAGCTGCTACACGTGGGGTTTTTTTTTGGTCAGATGTCAAGTCAGGTAAAACAGAAGTTACAATAAAAAAGAGGTATCGCCATAGAATGTTTTTGATTTGACTTTTGATGTAATATGATATAAAACTGTCTTCTGGTGATCATTTGATATAAATTCTGATGTGGTAATCATATATCATCTGCTGACATTACATCATCACCATTGGAGATTGGAGAAGCCGCCCTATGAATACCGATTATAGATGATTGTGTTTTCTTTATGGGACAGTCTGAGTTGTGTCAATATCATGAAAAACATTTTTTCACATCCTAGAAAGAAAAAAACTGTCTCATGATCTCGACATAACAAGTGAGATAATGATCTTGTCATCACGAGAAGTAAAGCTTGAGGTCGAGATAAAAAAATCTTAAAATAGAATGAAGAACAATCTCTTATTTAGTAAAAAGTATGACGATTCAGCTCATTAATTAGAAATCCCATTTTCACAACCCTAAAATTACTTTTGATCAGCGTGTATTGCTAGTTCACTTCGAATGCCTCACAGTGAACAATGACCTTCCCTGATGATTGCCTATAAACCTGTTGTTTAGATTTGTATTTAGGTAAATCACATCGGAGAACATTCGCCATGTCCCGGGCATGGTTGTTTACTTAAACTGTTGAACCAAAGTGAAACAAGACTAACGACACACGAAGTTCTTTTCATCCATCAGATCATTTTATGTGAGACATAAATAGGACAACGACATCATTTAATGAATATTTACATGCAGTATCTAGTTTTCTATCATCACGGTATACGTTTTGATAAAACATTTTAGTATGCAAGGCCACCAAAATATTTCAATTAAAGTGATCACACTATTTAGTACAAATTACAGTCAAAAACATTTGAACAAAACCATTTGACTTACAGGGGAACTCTTATAAATCGATCAAATGAGTCACAATTCAACAACAGAAAATCAGTATTGCAATGTTAAAGCACGTTACACTTTGGGATATACAGATGCATCCTTTAGATCAGTACCTTACCTACTCGAGGCGAGGAGAACGTCAGCATTATCCATCTGCTGTTGTACGCACATGTAATAGTAGTAAGTAGGAAACTAAGAAGAACATGTAATGTTAACAGGTAAGTAAAATATGATAACCTTACGAGGTTTAGCAAAAGACTTTTGAGCTTAACCTCACATGACAATATAATGGTTCATTTTGAATGTAGTAAACCGGGTTACTGATCATCATCATCATGATAAAACATTGGTGTAAAATACTGATCGGTTCGTCAGCTTGACTTTTATAACGCTTATCACTCCATGTTTTATTTAGCTGTCTGGGTTCTCATCCATTACAGTTAAGTTGAGTCATTCTTATAAATAACTTAGTATATAACTTCAAAGATAATGAGTAAAAATGATTTCTCAAATCAAACAAATCCTTCTCACTGTTCCTTTGACAAGGCTCCACTGGCAGCAGGGTTGTTTGAAGGTGTGTCTGCTGAGTGGAGGTAGCTATAGATTGTTTTCTGTAGTGAAAGATGCAGTGAAACTATTAGCAAACACTTTCACATTATCTGTATTAATATCATACGTTGAATCAGTTACTATCTCGTCTTTGTGATTTGTGAAAACACTTGACAGCTGATGGTGAAAGCAGGAATGCCAAATGGTGGCGACAAAATCAATGCTCCCATACAATTAAGTCACAGTTGTTTTGACAGTCACAGTTTTAAACAGTTTGAACCACATGGTTTACGTTGTAAATTGAAACAAAACCTAAAACGTTACAAAAATATTAGGTTTGGTTTAAAATGAGTACGAATTTGTAAAAAAGCAACAAAGTACTTGATTAGGTTTAAGCAGCAAAAGTGTTTGGAGGAAGTTCCTGTTGGAGTCTCTTTCCATCAAGGTGTAAATCTCCTGAGCGTCGTTGAAGCAAGTAGGTCAGGCGTTCCACCTGGTTTCATCTCTGGTTCAAGTTTACCTTAAAGACTTTACAGAATGAGAGGAAAGGCTGGGTTTCAGGAGCACAGACTTGCACAAAGCACATGCCTTGAAAAAGACGGCAGAAGTTAGCCTTCTCGGTAAAGCAGCATTAAGGACACAATTAATACATTTTAAAAGTAAAAGTAATGTTTAATGGAAGAAAACATCATAAAATTACCATTTAACCAGTGTCATAACTGAAATAATTGAGGTAAAAATCTGAAAAACATTGTCATATGGCAAAGGACAAGCTTGGGTGGGAAGCGGAACAGAATGCCCTTTCATATCCATTTTCTGAGCCTTATTTTCCATTTTATTTTCATTAATAGTAAACCCAAATGACTGAACTGAGTAGTGCGACATATTTCCTGAGTGCCTGAGTGGTTGTTAATAGGCCTGTAGTGGTGTTGTGAGTGAGCATATTCATAGCTTCGCAGTCACACTCAGCTTCAAGTACTCGCTTCATTGAAGGAGAATGTGCGGGTGCATTAATAAGGTTTGCAATAGGGTTAGGGTTGATAAGGTTTGCAATAATGCCTTTGAAGTGTGTTTCAGGCTTTGAAACAATGTCAACGTGTAGAGCTGCTTGGCTCTGCTCGCCAGCTTTGGAGGATTCAGATTTCTTGTAGTCTTCGCAGGCGACCCAGAAGTCCATGTTCTCCTCGCTGAACGTTGACCTCAGGAAGTTGTTGAAGAACGTACGACCCGCTAACAAAGACAGAAAAAAATATGTTTCATTTCATTATCAAATGCACCTTTCAGACCCATGAGTGCACATATTAGCAAGGCTGGTTAATGCTGTATTGAAGTATCATTAACAGCAATACATGTTGTAATATATTGATGCTCCTTTAATAGTATTAAGGCCCATAATATGTCCCAGCCGATCAAGATTACCTAAATCTGGCATACTTGGTTGCTAGGGTTGTGAAGAATGATGCAGCAGAATCGTTCACCGGTCCAAGTTCTGCTACCAACTCTTGACAATAGCTAGCCAAAATGGCGCAAACCAGCCTGAACCCAATATTGACTACTGAAAGCCATATTATATTAAGAGTTAGTAAATTCTTAACAAACTCATTTTGAGACATTGGTACATTTACACAAGATAACTTAAAAATAAATGAAGCTGAATTGTAGGCAGTGTGTTCCTGGGCCAAACAAAGAGAAGAAAACAAGTACTTAAAAACGAGCAAAGCAACGTGACGGCAGCGCAATTACACAATTTTACAACAACAAAAAATCCTCGCACTGATAATTACATCCTGTCTTTTTAAGACACACAAGACAAAAAGTGTTCTCCAAATCACAGTACACATAGACCTCAGGCTTTTTTGTAGAAGTCACTTTTTTTTACAAATTGATTAACTTCTTTTAGCACTACTGCTTCAAAATCACACATGACTAAGAAATCAGATGGAGGAGACCACTGAGGCTAAAATGAGAGCTGACGGATGAAGGAGGACATGATATTGTTGGAGGGATGAGGTCATGGAACGGAGCAGGTCAGAACTCGGCTGCTTCCCGAAAGGCCATTGCTCCCCTCTTGTGTCCACATACACACACACAAACAGTGTAATTCTCAGTGGACTTATGCACACACAGATACATACACACTACACTGGTCAGCATGCCCTGAGGTGCCATTGAGTAGTGTCTTGAGACACGTAGCAGAAAACCAGGGCCCAATCCCAATGTCCCCCCTAAGGCCTTAAACCCTGAACCCTCACGGACTTACTGACGTCACCTGGTAAATGGTTGATTGTGAGAGAATGTAAATGGTATAAATACGAATGGGACAGCAGTTTGCGTCAACGTATCACGTTACCATGACAACGTCCAAAAATATTATGTGCAATTGTGGGTATTTATTTTAACTTTTGACTTTCTGGCTCTTTCCTCACGAGATGAGAGGTCATTTCGAATAATCTATTTACTCGTTTTTGTCAAAACAGCTTCAATAAATCTGTGTGTAATCTCTGCTTCCATTTCTCTGATTTCATGTGTTTTTATGTTCCATCTTTAATACTTAATGTTTCTGAGTAAACATTATTTGCCAGGCTAAAGAACACATGTGCCGTCCTTTTTGTTTACATCTCCATGCTTCCACTGGTAACCCTGTGTTTAACGTCACATTGCTATGAATTGTGGGTACTTCCCTTGGGCAAAAGTCTGCCGAAATGCGAAGTTACAGAAAGTGTTCATAGAGGGCTCAAAATGTCTGCGAGAGAGTCCTCAAAAACTTGATGATTTGACGGTGGGACAGAACTAAACCCTCTGCGAGTGTGGAGATTGGGATTGGGCATAGAGAATGAGAATCCATCGGAGACCTTTTGAACCTTTTTGTTTTTGAGAAAACAAATACTGGCCACCATGAGAATGATCATATGTTAAGTTTTAATTGTTTTTTTTAGCACACAGGTTTTGCAAGATAACTAATGAGTCAAGCACCTTCCTGACGGTTATTGTCAGTATTATTAGTATCTGACAAGTCTTTCGGCCTTGCTTTGGATTCAGACTCAACCTCGTTAAAACTTGTTCCTAGTTCAGGTTAAACAAGTTTAACTGTGAAACAATATTGTAATACTTACTTTGACTGCTCATCACGTGGCTGAAAGACTTCCTCCACTTCTTCACCTCAGCTGGACACAGACAAAGAGGGTTCTTTAAATAAGGCTGTACAGACTTTCTGAGTGGGGAGTTTTAAAGGGAAACTACGATGCATGCATGCAACTATTTCTATGTAAACAATACAGGAAATTTCACAAATTGTGTTCAGGATGTGTTTCATCTAGATTTTATATTTTGTATCCAAAGCACAATGTGTTCCCACTGGGAATTTTATAGAAAACCATTTCTATTGTTTGTACTCTGTAAGTAAGGTCTAATAAGGTAGTTGTTGCAAAAGGTATAGAAACAACCCTGCTGGCTTCCTGTCATCCCACCAAAACAAATACAAAACCCAACAACAAGACAGCTTTGTAAAGAGGTCATACTTTCGTTCTAAATGAGCTCATCAGATCCCCAACTGCACTAATTCACTGATTAATAACTAAACTAATCACACCAGCATGCGTCACCTGACATTTACACAACAAAACCTACCATACGATAATATCCCCTTAAAAGATTCATCACCTGCAACAACTGCAATAATGTGAATAATTAACAGTTAATCCTGAGTAGAAAAGAGCAATCTAAATGCACATACATCACTGTAATGATGCATGTCACTGAGGCTCTACAGCATGTCTTTGTGTTGTGAACGGAAGGATACTGATGCTGAGCAACTACAGGGAAACTACATATTGATGACCTATAAATGTCTCTAAATGGTTACATGTTGCCTAAAAGGAAAGGTCGGTGTCGTATTCATACAGAACAGTAGAAGGCTTGCTGAGGCCAGGTCACAAGACCAAAACAAAGCAAGACATGGTGTGTTCTTCAGCAAATGTCTTTCAATTTCAAACTGTGTACTCTAACAGACATGTCGTGACATGTCCTCCATGGTAATGCAAATGAACACCTGCAATACACTTACACTCATAAAAAGAAAAAAGAGGGGTTCAAAACAAAACCAACTAAATTCCACTGAACCAGAATTACAAAAATCAAGGAGGAAATTATCTTTTTCCCTTTTCACCTCAGTGTGTTAATGCAAGATCTCTTTCTACATCAACCTATTCATCTTCTTTTCTTGTCACCCCGTCATCTCTCTCCAAACTAACCTCACACAACTGAAAGAAATCAATATTAAAGGTCAACAGTTAAAATACAGGCACAAGTCAAATCCCAGTTGCAAGTCATTTAATATGATTAATAATTAGGGATCAAGTTGTGTCCAAAACAATTACTTTTCTTGACCAATCAAAAGGGATACAAAGCAGTTAGGTCAGTGGAAATTGCCCGTAAACTCAAAATATTAAAGTCCCCTCTCACAGTGATTAAAGGTAAATGTTGACGACATGAAACGTATTCACAAGCACTAATTATCAATTGATAACTGAAGAGACGGCTTCCAGATCGAATTGCAATTCATGAATTTGTTTCAATGGAACATGTACTTTCCTCAGCAGACATGAATGCAGTTTAGTTTAATCATAATCCTCGTGATAGAGTTTAAAATCTCCCCCTGAACTCCTGGAAGAGCAGCTTGATGTGGCATCCAAAGAAAACAAAGAAATACTTTAAACGTCCACAAAATAAACAAGAGAAAAGCAGTCTTTTAATTGTTTCTGACCTGCTGCTTGAGGATCATGCTTCTGGATTAAGAAATTTAAAACAAACCGTTTACGTTTGATGTCTTTGGCACTGTGGAGGAGATGAGAGGATAGTGAGTAAAATGCATTTCATTGAACAGTGGTTTGTGATTAATTTACTGGTTTAAAATATGTGTTTTAATGTAAATAAACCAGTGAGGCTCCTAGAGGTCAGCATATGCACAGTTTCAGGTATTTAAAAGCATTTTATCTTGTATTTTATTTGAGCAGAAACACGATATATATATTCTATCCACCTGTTGCCCAAACTAAAATGGTCTTACCTTTGCAAGCATGTTGTAGGAAGTGTTGCAAGTCCTCAACACATGGTGGGACGTTACAGATCCAGAGTCAGTGCTGCAGCTGTGAATGCTGACGGCACCACCAGGGAGGCAACAGTGTGATTGCGAGCAGTGAAGTTTTCAGTATTACTGGTGTATCCACCCCTTGCTGTTGTTCTTTTGCGCTAGAGTGCTCACTGACATGAAACTGACCAATCAGACAGACAGTAAGAGGGAGAGAGCGAGAACTGAGAGGAAGGCAAAGTTTTTACAACAAATGGGATTGTATGTAACCAAAACATATACAAACACGTGTTTCAGCTTAGTCAAACTGAACACAATTTAAATCCAGGCATGAATAATGTTGGTACGAGTCTGTAATTGTTAATACATTCAAGGAGGGATTTGTGGAAAAGTTTTGTATTTAGTTTTTATTGGTTGACCCATTTTCCCTCAACACACATCAGTGAGAGTTCATAAACCCGGACGTGTCCCTGCACAAAACCCTCTGTGTTCCAATGTCATACGACATACTAAGGTCCAAGATATCCTCTCTTCTTGAAAATATCTTGCCATTTCCGACCAGGTTTAATAATTAACTTGGTCAAAGAGAGATGAAGACAGCAATAAGCATGAATACAGCAATTAAATGAATAGGATCTGGCAAAGCCGTTGAAAAATAAGATATCTTTTATCTGCTGCTGAGCCACAGTCGGAGGTAATCCCAAAAGTCTAACAACACAGATCAACAAAGTCCAGTCGTCTGGAAGTCACTGGCATCTCCTCCTACTTAATCTACATCACAATGTGATCAAGTGACCTGTTTTGGACTTCGACTGCTTGAAAAAGGATTGCGGTCCTTCCATGAATGCAAATCCCAGCTCAACAACACATTGATGTTAAAGTGGTCTTTAAGGGACGCCTGACTGTGGTTATTACGGTAATTGTTGGTTGTAGATATTAACAGCATACGTCAACCTTTCAAAAAAAGTTGTTTATGAAAGAGGGCATTAATACAGAAAGGTCTGTGTTCAGGAGTCAGACTTTTATTTCAAAGTTTTGTGTGCTTTCACCCTGTAACTACAATCCACTTCTAACCTAACATGGTTTTTAACTACTATATTTTGGGTTAAAGGTGCCATGTGGAGTTTCAAAAAGTTGTTTACATTCAGCGTTACACAACAAAACTCATTGTGTGAATCCTTGAGGTCTTTCAAAGGTGTCGAGTGCATTTCTTTCCTCGGAACACATTTGGAAAGTTGATTTTTAAAGTATTTTAATTCAAGCGTTGTTTCCATCCACGTTTACTAGCATGCGTTGTTTTTCCTCCCGACCTTTGCAGCATATATTGGCATGTCACCATGCACCACCTGTGGATCAGTGGAATAGTGTGACAGTGTTTCTAATGCTGCCGGGCCCAGATCAACGCAAGAGCCTCCTTCTCAACAACAGAGTAAGTTAACTGATGCCGATTGAATTTCTTAGAAACAAAAACTGACTGCTCATCTTCCTGCATCAACACGGCTCCCGCTCCTACATGGCTAGCATCCACCTGCAACACAAAAGGATGGTCAGAACGGGGAGCAGCCAGCACTGGTGCTGAACACAAAAGAGACGTGACATTAACAAAAGCCTCCTGGCACTCTGTTGACCACACACATTGAGCCTTGGCCTTCAGCAAGTCAGTAAGCGGTGCCACAACAGAAGAAAAGTTCTTACAGAAACAACGGTAATCCCCTACCATCCCAAGGAATCTCAGGAGCTCTGACTGCCCCTGTCCGACCACCCGACCAAGGTAAGTCACCATTGCATATGAAAACATATAGTATATGGTCTAACACAAGTTTTGAGAGTATAGTATCAATGCAACTTAGAAATCGACACAACAAACATAAAAAAATACTTTTGTATTTTTCGTGTTTGTAGTGTCACTAGAGGCCTTCTGGCAACGATTACAGCCGAATGCAAAATCAATGCATCGGAAAATAGACTTAAATAAATACTGATATGAATCATCATTGTAACATTCCCTGACGAACAATGTTCAGATCTAAAAATCCTCATGTGGGTCGTTTTGGAAAGGCAGTGACAAGCATCTTGATTTATTGTTTAGGTTCTGGACTTTTTGTACAAAGTTAAGATGCTCCTGCAAGACGAAAGTGCTATAAAACAGTATCACCACAAATCACATTGCTACCCCAGATGTACTGTACTGTTCCACAGTTTGCACCTGTAGCAGCTTTATGCACAGCAAAACCCTCAGGAGAATAAACTAAAGACCATCTCGTACGTATGCAACTCTATCGCAGGCACAAAATCTGTCGACATATAAGCACCTGGCAAAGTACTCAAAGCCACCTAGTTCCCGATACAGTAGGTGTCTCCAGGACCACATTTTGCCATGATGACACACACAATACCCCCCTACAAAACCTTCCTACAAAACCAGCATCGCTGTCACAGCTGCTAATTAAATATTACATTGACAATTCAATGTAATATTTAATTGAAACCTCAGATCATCCTCCCTTGTCACTTATTTACAAAGTAAGCGTTGTGGAACTGTGAGGCCTCTCAGAGAAAACGAGCTGTCCAGATTGCTTTAATCTGCTCATTCATCTTGACTTGAGAGGATAAACTGATTCAACATCTATCTGCAGCCTCACTCCCTGGTAATAAATAAATGAGATTAAGCTATAGCCAAGTATATGTAAATTCAAAGTCTGGTGAAAAACCTTCTGATAAATGCATGCATGAAAACAAGCATCGCCTCCCTCTTCACTTCTTTCTGTCTCCCTGTGCCTCTGTCACACATGACCTCATATCTGAATCCCAGAACAGTTTTTCCTTTTATCTGATGACTGAAAAAAAGCTTGAATTCTTTTCTGTAAGTGATTTAAGAGCAGCTGAAGCACAAACGTACCTTTCTGCTTTGTAGTCAACATATGTAGGCAATTAAAACATGGAGCACTGCCAAAGGTCTCCTGATAAGGAAGAATCAATTCAGTGTGGCCAATTTAAAAAAAGAAAAGACTACAATCAGAGTGGAGGTCACAATGGTGGTTTGGGAAATGGTCTGAATGACGTGCTGGCTCCCTATCATCTTCTGAGAAGCATTTCTTGCAGATCACAGGACAAATGACTCACAGGGCAAATATGTGTGACGCACCAGACAAAAAGAAAAACAATTGAATTTCAGTTGGACTTTCACAGCATGACAGGGATATTTGATTCCGGTTTTTGTCTCGCAATCTCCTGTTGATAAGCGGTGCTCGCCCAGACACCAGCATCTGATTAGACCACCTGAGGCCAGGCTCTGTGTGCTCCTGGTACACTCACATCGCACCTGGGGAGTCAGCCCTGTCTCTCCACAGGTCTTTTCCACCCCCCAAAAGCATTTCATAGTGCGCTGCAGCAGCTAGACACGGATATGCAGGCATTGGTTAACACCTGTTAATGGACCCGTTAGTCCATAATGTATTTAGTAAAGGATTTAACAGACTTCTTTGGATGGCTGTGGCTCAGGAGGTAGAGCCACATAGTTGTTCACTAATTGGAGGATCAGTAGTTAGATCCCAGGTCCTCCAGTCTGCATGTAGAAGGTGTCCTTGGGCACACTAACATCTGGCTTCTGTCTTCACTGGGAAAGGTTACAATCGGTATTCACTCCTCAATTCATCTATTGGCAATTGGAAAAGGAGTCTATAGCTTATTTTTGTGGGTTCTTCCCGTAAAAAAAAAAACGGTGAAATGTAATCTTACAGCATGTTATGACATGTTCACATGTGTGAACTAAAACAAAGTGACCCGATAAGTCGTCAAACGTAAAAGACAATATAGGTCAGTTGCTCCCAAAATGACCCATATCTTTGCTCCAAAGTAGCATTTTGTGACCTTCTACCCCTATAGGTATGTTATGGTCAGGTTAAAGTAACAACACTTTTTTGTTTTTGTTTTGAAGATTGTAAACTCTATCATACTCTCATTACGTATGTGTAATTGAAAGTCAGCAATTTCACATTGTCATTTGACCCAGTATTGGTGTAAAAAAATGTATTATTCATTATCGTTTTCATTGTACTGATACTTCAGAATACCCTTGTCTGTAGAATATGTAATGAAAATTAGCCTCCAGTGTTAATGGTGTTTATGTAGATTTAGACTAGAGAGGTTTTCAGCATGCTATTTTTCCAAAGGGTCAAAAGGAGCCAAGGCAGCATCAGAGCGGTGGATATGGTCCCTCATAAACCATATCATGTGACGGGGAATAGGCTTCATAAAGTGGCTTACTCTCAATCAATTATCCCCCTCACCCCCACTCATCTCACAGCTCCTTAAAGGAGGGAGAGCAGAGCCCTCCACAAGCCGCCTCCATCATTCCCATCAATGAAGGGATAATTGCATCTTTCACATGGTCAAGAGCTTCATCTGTCATCATGAGACACTCAACGTGACGTTTGAATCTGTCAGGCAGGATGGGGAACTTAAAGGAGGGCAGCTAGCAGACCTGGTGTGAAATCGCTGGCTTGTTTGCTGTGCTCGTTTTCCACTTCACATGTGGGTCTGGTTTAATGCAGTGAGCAGCACTCAAAATATCCCGATTAATCTTTTAGGAGATGACACTCAGGGTATGGAGAGGACATGAATTTAATCTGAATTGAAATTATTACCAGATCCATTCACCTTAGTCGGATGACACCTTTTACCATGACAACATTGTCAGTGCATCTTCACATCCCACACCTTTGTCCTCTTTTGGATGAGCAACAGAGAAATGTTTAAGAAAAAAAATAGGCTGTAATGGTCAGAGGAAGCATTTACCTTAACATATTCAGAGGAAATAAATAAGTACCTAAAACTCTCACTCCAACTGCATCACATACCCCTGACTTAGTAGATAAATGTATATTTGTACAATCTAATCTGCAAGGTATGCATGAGGGGAGCACAATTTAAGAAACACGGTATACCCCTGTCGGATAACTTATCAACAAAAACTGAATTATTAAAATATTATGAGCTTTAACAAGGTAAAATGTACTTAGGTAATAAATAATGAGATTAAGATTAAGAGTCCAAATCACACAGAAGCACTGTGAGGATAAATCTGCAAA